CTCAAAAGGGGACCCATCATGGCCCATCTTCATCAACACAGACCCAAGACCCTCGCGAGGGGCCAAGCCTCACGGGGCGGACGACACGGAACTTCCTCAGGCACGGCCTCATCAGGCTGGCTCGCGAGGAGGCGGAGAGATCAAGACGGGGTACCTCGCGAGGTGCCCGTGACGCAAGCCATGACGACCAAAGGCGCCAGGTGGGCGCTAGCCGCGCAGTGTCCTCCTTTTCTCTTTGGTGCAAAGGGAGCAAGCGCAGGCGAGAGCATCAAGCAAAGGCACCCGTTTCGGTGCAACGAGACCAAGACCAGTCCAACGGCAGGGAGGAAGTCATTGTGGAGCCCAAGTCAGCGTCACCACCAGAGCCTTTGACAGGCGAGGACCAACTTTAGTCAGGATAAGTGTACCAGATATTCCCCTTCAAAATGGCCAATTGTTGGCGCACTTCCCGCTCAATATTTAAGAAGAGGCCCAGGGCCTTTGCCTATAAATAGGACTAGCCACCCCCACTGTAGAGGGGCAATGAAGAAGGGAGAATCTAGAAGCCAAGAGAGAAACTAGTTAGGATCGGATCGAGTAGCATCACACACACAGAGAGAGAGAAGGGCGACTGAACTCCTCCTAGCAGTTCATCCCCCCAGCCAAGAGCAGACCCTCGCGAGGCTGTTCTTCCTTGTATTGCTCATCATCATCAGCCCAAGAGGCAATCCACCACACCACATACTGGAGTAGGGTATTACACCACAACGGTGGCCCGAACCAGTATAAACCCTGTGTCTTTTGTGCTGTTCTTTCCATAGCTTAGATCTTAGCGAGGCGGAGGGGTGCAGGTAGGTAGAAGGCGAAACCTCCGCGCGCACCCCAGTGTTCGAACCTCAAGGGTCTGCCGGAACCCGAAATCCGACATTTGGCACGCCAGGTAGGGGTGCGCCGGAATCCACTTTCTACCGCTTTGTGTCCCGTCGCGTCGTCATCACCATGTCCGGCGATCAGGCGGGCAACCCAGATCCATGGGCGGCGTGGCCCGCCCGCGCAGAGCCGCTCGCCTCGGGCGACCCCGTGCCCCAGGAAGCTCGCGGTCCGCAGGGCGCTGCGGGCCGCGAGCGACGCGGACAGGCTTCGACAGCTCTCACACCGCGGCAGGCACGGTCGGCAGCAAGGGCCTCCAATCACGCCGCGACCACGACACCGTACACCCGCCGAGAGCAGGCGAATTCGAGGGCCGCGCTCACGGTGGCCCGAGAGCTGCTGCAGTGCAGGCTGTTGGAGGGCGGCCGCGACGTGCTACTGGAGCGGGTGGCAGAGCTCCTGGGCTTCGCCGCCTCAGGGGCTCACCCCTTCTGCACCCAGCTCCCATCTCAAGCCCAGGGCGGCCCGCGCGGGGGCTCCGCGCGCGCCCGCGGGCTCCAAGGCTACCCCAACGCCGACGAAGCTGTTGGCACCGGACCGGCGGCGGCGGTGCCCCCGCTCCCGGTCCGCGAAGAAGAAGGACTCGACGCGACCCACGGCCCTAGTGGACAGCCGCGCTACCACCCCACGGTGGGTGCGTCAAGCAGGACTGCATGGCACGCGGAGCACTACGGCGTGGCCTTCGGGATGACGGCGCCAGAAGAATACGTGCCCCTCATGATGGACCAAGGACACCCTCATGAAGGCGAACAAGGCTTGCTCCTCAGCCCAAACTGGGGGGACGAGGCGCCAGAAGCTGAGCCCTTCCAGGAGCCCCGGGACGGTCCCACTGGCCACGCTGGAGGCAACGATTATCGGGTATCGCTAATTCTTCAGGAGCAGGCGTACGCTAATCATGGATCGCAGGAGGTGCAGGTCGCCACAGCGAGCAGCTGCCCCGCTCCCACAGTCTCCTACCCCTCAGGAGGAGGGCGCAGGGGGCTGCAGGAGAGGGGCCGAGATCCAACATCACCACCGCGGCGTTCGGAGCAAGGTGTTCTCAGGAGGTAGGCCCTCTGCTGGGGAGGTGCCTCAGGGCCTGCCCCCTGGCGGAGGACCCGTGGTCGTCGGGGGAACCGCTGGCGACCGCTCTACCCCGTCGGCGGCGTCCTGGTTTCTGGTCGTCGTTGATGGCACTAGAGTGTGGCGCAAGGCGGGGCCCTCGTCTGGCGATATGAAGTAAGGCCGCTACCTGTGAAGAAGGCCCAGTGCCTGTGAAGCTCGCCGCCCCGTGACACTCTCACGTAATAATGAGTGGGGCTGTACACGCCCCGGAGTCTCAAGGGTGCCGACCTCAGGCCCTGGGGCTCCCTCCCACGCCCAGTGGCAGCACTTAGCTCCGCGCTGGTGAGAAGATGCCCAAGACTAGATTAGGTGCTGGACGCGGCCTTTTGTCTGCTTTCGTTGCTTTTCTCTTTGGTTGTCACTTTCCCCTGCTGGATTCAAGTTGGATTCGAATTTGAGATTTGCGTGTGTTCGGGGAAGAGGTGCTTAGTCTCGTTCGAGCAATTTCTCGCGTTTTGATTACCACTTCGCCTCAGCTGCCTCCCCTCGTGAGCCCCTCGCGAGCCGGGTCAGGCCTAGCTTGTGCGCAGCCCAGACTGCCGTCGCCGCGTCCTCTCAGGAGGGTTTTTTACTACAGATTCTACGGATTCGATCAGGGAACACTCGGGACACTACAGCCTCCCACAGGCTACCTCAGGGCCCGCACGGGACGAAGGTAAACTAGCCAACCAGCGCGTCGCTTAGCCAACCACTTGGCGCGGGCGCATGTGCAATGTAACATCTACTAATACGATGAACACAAGTTTTACATGAGGGGCTCCCCCTCCCAAAATGCTCTCACAGCCCTCAGGCCAAAACCTGAGTTCTATTCATGCAGGGTAAGGAAACAGGAACGATGCATGATCAGTCGGATAAATCCCCCAATGCGTCCTCAGGAGCACCATCCGAACCGTTGCTGGCGTCGCTGGACTCGCCATCGCTGTCTGCGTCGCCGCCGGCGGCGTCAGGGTCGTTCACCACACCGCCCTCGTCGGCAGCCACGATCACGCCGTCGTTGTCTGAAGCGAAGGCCCTAACAAGAGCATCCACATTGTCTTCCACCCAGTGCGCCAGGTCGTCTTGGACGGCCTGGGGGACTGGGGCGATGGCGGCGTCAAAATCGAAGTGGGGATCCATGTTCCGGAGATGGCTGAAGACGCGAGAAAAGGCGTGCCCGAGCAGGGCGCGGCTCCTCCCCTCCACCAACCTGTCGGCCCTGACCGACCGCGCCTCCAGCTGCGTCACCACGTCGGTGAAGAACTGAAGGTTGCTGGCGTAGTTGACTGCGTGCGGCTCGCCAACAGCCGCCTCGCAGATGTTTCCCAAGGCTGTGTTGGCTCTTTCCCGGAGCGTGGTGAGCATGGGGCCGTGCTCATGCTCCAGGATCCGCCGCTGACGTATCTCGTCCGCATTCTGGCGTGTGATGGCTTCAGCCTCCTCCACCCGATGGCGAAGAAGGAGCACCTCGGCCTGGGAGGTGGTTGACTCCCCTTGCGCTACTTCAAGGGCGTCCCGAAGAGCATCGGCCCGCCGCGTCGCTTCCTCCAGCTTGGCCCTCAAGGCAGCAGTCCTACCTTCAGCCTCGGCCCGGATCAACCCCAGCCTCTCCTCGGACTCACGCTCGAGGTCCAAGCACGCCATCGCCACCCGACGTCTGACCTCCTCCAGGACACGGGCTTCCCGTGCAGCGACATCATCCTCCGCCTGCGTCATCAAGCGCTCACTCGTCTCCAGACGCTCGTACTCGCGGGTACGTTTGGCGGCTTCCAGCGTCAACGCCTCCTCACGCTTCTGGAGCTCTGCTGGGTCGCCAGAGGCCACCTTCATCGACGCGAGGGCTGCCTCGCGCAGCTCCACTTGCTCCTCCAGTGAGTGGCACCAGGCCAGGAGCTCCCGAGCCCGCTCCTCCGCCGCCTCTCGCCGCCGGTCAGCTTCCCAGGCCTCCTCAGCGGCCCAAGATTGGGCCTCTCGAGAGGCCACCAGCGACGCCTTGGCCTCTTCGTCGTCAAGATCGCGCTGATGGCGCACAAGGGCGATGGCGCCCTCCAGCTCGCGCCTCTCTGTAGCCAGGCGCAGGCCCTCGGCCTCAAGGTGCGCGTCTTCATCAGCAAGCTCCTCACCAAGCAGGCTCACCGAGTCAGCCGCCCTTCGAAGGAATCCTTGGCGAAGAGCGTGACGCTCCCGGACGTGCTC